TCTGTACATGTTTATATCTTTTATTTATGGTACCTAATTTATACTAAGGATCACGCGTACCTCAATGTCATGCTTCATGTAAACTTTAACTATCATGATAACGTATATTATATAGATGTATATATGAATATGAGTGAGAGTATGTATACTTTTGTTTGTTTTGGAATATATATGTAAGTGCGTATATATCTGTATCTGAGTTGGTATCTATTACGTATATACATATATTTTGATTGTACTCTTCTTCAAGTGCATTGTATGCACATGTATATTTCTTTTTTGCATTTTATAAATGTCGTCTGCTCAGCCGGGGCTGCGGCCTGGCAGCTAGTGGTTGACTCCCGCTGAGTTGGTAAACAATTCTGGATGAATATATCTATACCTGGGTTGGAAGCCAACTCAGCGGTTTACCTCCTCTAACCACTATACCGTCTGGGCGGCAAATGTCCTCAATTTCTTCTGATGCACTCATGGCATCTCACTTCAACATTACGCATAGCATGTCGGAGCATTTCTCCGGGAATACTGACAACCTCTTCACGAGTAGCTGTTTTTAAGTTCATCTAGATATTTGGGGGTTTGAAAAACACTTTGCTTTTGAAATATCCCCAGAGGGAAAAGTCACACTCCGTTATGTCGGGGGTTCTGGCGGGCCACGAAATATCACCCCTGCTGGAGATCAAACGACCGGGAAAGAGTTGGCATAAAGCATTCATGGAAAGGTTTGCAGTATGGGCAGTGGCTCCATCTTGTTGGAACCATGGAGGAACTTCAGGAAACTGTGTCATTTCACGTGACAAAAATGTCGCAAGCATATTCCATACCTCTGGGACGTTATCGTCACTGCATTGTCTGCTTCATCCTCAAAAAAGAATGGGCCAATGATGCCAATATACGACACTGCACACCACACTGTCACTTTGGCATTCCGTAAAGGTTTTCGTGGACGTCCCGAGGATTTTCAGGGGACCAATATCTAAAATTTAGTTTGTTGACATATCCGTTTAGTAGGAAATGTGCTTCATCAGACATCCACATGTGATCAAGAAATTCCCCATCTTCAGCAATCTGAGGCAGCATTTCGCGACAAAATCTTATCCGACTTTCACAATCGCGAGGTTTTAACTGCTGTACGATGCGTATTTTATACGGGTGAAACTGTAGCTCCAGGTGTAGAATTCGTCTCAAACTCCTGTCCGACATATTAAAAAAGACAAAGCATGGCGCCGTGCAGAACGCCTTGGGCTCCTGGCCATTGCGCTCTCTACCGCAGCAACGTTGTCTGGGCTGCGAACTGTTCTTGTTTCTCCTGGAGGTTTCTTTTTCAGGATCGAGCATGTTTCTTAAAAGTTCTGGACCCACATTTTTATGGCATGAGCGGACGGTACAGGAACGTGACGACCCAGCTTCTCTTTTCAAAGAAACACTCGCCTTGCCGTCTACTAATTTTCGTTGTTCTGATAAAACGCTTTTAGAGCAACAGCCGTGTTGTCGACCGGTCTACTTTTGTATCATACCTCGATCGACATACATTTAGCTACGCAATAATAGTGCAACGCATTCCCCTATTCTATCTGCATATGCGCAATCGCAGATTTCAAATCACCCGTTTTCCTGCCGCACCCTGTATTTTCTGGGATTAATAAATAAATTTCACTTACCTGCTGTTATACAAAAAATTGAGATTGTATTTCATCCAAAGTAAAGCATGTGAAAGAGGAAATTTGTATTTAAAATTAGTGCTTTCCCTTTTTATGTTAGTTTATATAGAATTCTCATACTTTCAAAGAGGGACAAAAATAAGCAATACAATATCTATAAAGACAAGCTTTTTACTTTATAATAAAGTAAAATAAATTACTGATATTTTATTTTACTTTATAATAAAGAACTAATATTTTTTAAAATATCATAATAACAGAAATTTTCAGTTACACTAAAACATGCTTTGATATCTTTTAAAATAATAAAATGGGAAAAAAATAGAGCATATATCATTAGTTTATTCCCAAGGGGGAAAAGTTCTCCCCACCCAATACTTATAAAACATGCAGACAAGTAAAGCAAGAAATGTATCAGAAATATTTTTGCTCAAATGAAATTACAGCGATATAATTATATAACAAAATTAATATTTCTCTTGTGACTGGGGCAGTCATCAGATTCATTATTTTTCCTCTAAATTTTTACACAATTAGCATAAAAAATAATGAATATAAAAATTTTCCCAGTTATATATAGAATATTTACTATCAATATAACACGTATTTTAAAAATCAAAAGTAAAATATTTTGATACCTTAACAGAAAATGAAACTCAAAACCATGTTAAAGTTAGTAATTAAAAATGTGTGAAAGCAGTCCAACATTCCCATTGCATTTGTAAATTATTTTTATATCACACAGATTAAAAATTACAATGGGTTATCCTTTTCAGGGGAAAACTGATTTTTGGTACAGAGAAATAATATATTAGATATACAATAAGATTTGATCTAGGAGATAGAAATTCGGAAGTAAAGAATTATGAATATGATGATGCAATCATAATTTTGTGCAAAGTTTAGTTTTAAAAACCTTTATTTTTTCCTCCTCCTTCACATGTGTTAAAAGTGTGAACCACAAGCTTGTTGTTTTTTTAACAGATAAAATAATCTTATTTTCAGTTTAATAGAAAGAAACCAGAAATCTGCTTCTTTAGATGCTCAGTAATTTAGGTTGAAATGCAGTGGCATAGCGATACGATACGATAATTTTCTGGTGCCCCCCCAAAAAAATATAGAAATATAATATATAGAATATACTCGTAATAAAAATATAATACAAATAATAATAACATACAGGATCTACCTTAAAATGATCTATACTATATTATGAATGGTCAGCCACCTAACTACATTTCTACAAAACCCTACTCAATTTTCTGGGATAACATGCTCAGGTACGCCTGTTTAAATTTGAGACAAAAGATCTAGTTAAAAAAATCAAGACTAGGACTGGATTTGGAAATGTGTCTGTGTCAGTGGAAAAATCAGACCTACTCTCATCCAGAATTAGTTAAAAAGCTATTATTTATTTTACATATTTATCTAACTCTGTAGAGACATTAGGTTATTTTTTGAAAGCAGGAGAGATGAAAAACGAACGATGCCCTCGCCGAGATTCGAACCATGGACCTCTCGAATACGCGCCGAGCCCGCTGACCACTACACCACAAAGGCATGCTAAGAAGGCAGGAGAAATACCTTATAAATGTTTTAAAGAACATACGGCTTTAAACAATGAAAGTTAATATACACAAGTAGATATATTTATTAATAATAATATAGCAATATTATAATACATTAATACAATTAATTATTGTGTATACATTTTTCTTGCCTTTCATGAAGCAAATTTATCATTTACTTCATCAAAGTCGATCATTTAAAAATTTTCTCTTTCCACATTTAAAAATGCTAGTCTACTTAGGTGATCTTGTTTTAAAATTGATCGTAGATACGCCAAAATTAATCTTAACTTGCTGAACCAAAGTCAATTATTTCAAATTTTTCTCTTTCCGCATTTAAAAAATACTGGTTTACTTAAGTGATCTTGACCTATTGTTGATCGTAGATATGCCAAAATTAATTAAAAATTAATTTTTCAGCTGCTAGCTGTGAATGTTTGGTGAACGAACAACATTCACAGCTAGCAGCTGATACTGAAATAGTAAGAAGTATTTAAAGTGCGACTCTCGGGTTTAGAAACACATTTTCTTCATGAGAGGTTATAAATGTAAAAAGCTCTAATGGAGTTTCAGGTTCAATTTCATTTCTATTGTGAAGTAACATTCTGCAGTCACATACTTCAACATAGATTTCTGTTTCATTTAAATCTGTATTATAAAATTCGCTCAAAATTTTCTAAGATGGTTATCAACATTATCCTTGTTTAACAGTTTTTTAATGTTCAATAAATATCCAAATTTGGAATAAGGATCACTTAGTCATGTAAATCGTGCCCTGCTGCAGACGATCGGGAACGCTTTTCATAACGCAAGAAATTTCAATTCCTGCGGAAAAGCCAACATCTCTAGTCAATCCTCCGGGTATTTTTCGGCTAACAAGGATTGTTGTATCACTTTTTCACAAAGAGACTTAGCCTTTTCTATTGCTTCTTCACAGATCTCAGTATGAATTTCTGTAAGTTGTCACTAATGATACAAGATCATGCAACGCATTTCTTAAATTCATTTTAGGATCTTGTTAATCTGAGCTGCACATGATCAATTCTCCTCAATAGTTCATACCAGTAATGGACTAAATTATGAAATTAAAATTCAGTGTATTTTGCAATAAAATTGTGGCTTCATCTTTTCACTTTTGGTAGAACTGTCCTCTGCTAATTTTTCTAAGAGTTCTGCTAATTCTTCCAGTCCATCAACAATAACACTAACTGCTTGTTCTCTGTCACTTCACCTTGTTCCAGATTTACGTTTTAAGTTTTCTTTAAAGCATTTTCTAATTCCCATAGGAATGTTGAATGTGAAAAAAAGAGATATATGTTTTCAGTTATTACCAAACATGTTACAATGACTGGATTTTGCTCAGCAGCAGTAATTCCTACTAAATTTAGTGAGTAGTTATAATAGTTTAAAAATAATGCTGCATTATTTTTTTCCATAATTCTTTGTTGAAGGCCAGATATGTGACCTGATATCAAGGCAGAGTTATCATACGATTGTAATCTACAGTTTGTTAATGAAATCTGTCATTCCTTTAAACTGTAACTATCAATTCTGTTACATCCTAGACTTGCTTAAAGGATTTATCTGCCTCACTACCTCGAGATGTAAACGTTCAATAAACTACTCATTTTTAATTTAATAGTAATATTAAAAAAAAGCTCTCATTGCAAGATTTTATGTAATAATTCTCATAATAAGTCAGTTTAGCATATTAAAATACCTAAGAGCAACAGCATCTCAAAAGATACATTATCAAAGTAATTGTATTTACCTCAGCATCTACATTGGGTGACAACTCCTGTGGATCATAATCATATAATGCTACTAATTTTTTTACAGGCAGGTTTGACCAAGGATCACTAGGATCACCTAAAATAATTAACATATGTTAAAGATCGTGTTAAAAAAGTTTAAAAATCTGTTCATATTGCTATATCAAAAAATTTAAATTAATAAATTTATTATTTTAACTTTTACCGTTAAGGTAAAAACTTTATACTTCTACCATTGGTGCCAGCCAAAAGAATAATGATGAAATAAAATAAGAAATTCTTAAACTGTGAGGAGGAACTGTGAAATACTGGATGGCTGATCTACACTCCAAATTAAATCAACAATTATATAACATTTAATGTAAATTAATTCAAATTTAAATTTCCAAAACCAATAACATGAAAATTAAGAAAATACATTTCTCCCTGGTGCTTTGGGAAACAATATATACATTTTGCAATGCCAAATGAAATTCTAAAACTCATTAAATTTCCACTTCCTAAAAACTGGTACATATTTCACTGAAATTAACACAAATCACACAAGGCATCAGAAAAGCAATATCATACGTCAAAATAGATTGAAGAAAATAATATTAATTCTGTTACGATTTTTTGTATAAATGTAAATCATTTTAGTGAAATTATATATAAAACTGTGGCGACATTTTGTTTCGGTTCCAGTATAACCTTGATAAGTATTGTAACTGGAAAACTATAATTGATGTTCTGTATTCGGCTCTTATATGCCTTGAAGTAATTTCGAGAATCAGGCAGTGCTAGAAATATCTCCGCGGCCGGGTGAAAACTATATAAAACTGAAGAGAGCATCAGTTCTTCACTTCCTGTAGTTGTTAGTTCAGCGTGATTTCGGAGTATTGAGATATCTCCGTGTGAGCTTCATGTTCCAAATGCGCTTTGCATTGATTTTGTTTAACGTTCATAGTAGTTTGTAGTGTAACTACTGACTGTACTCTGTGATATTCTGAAGAGCTGTATGAGTACTTTTGTGGAAAGTTCCAGACTGTGAAGTGTTTATTTTGGTGAAATAAATTGTATCAAGCTATCATCAATTCTATATGCATTCAATCTATACTGGTGCGCAAAACTTAAGCAACAATGTAAGTTTTAATCAGATAGCCAAGAAATTGCCGAAAAGGGGTTTTTGCGATCAGTACAATGAACACGCAATTCAGTAGAAAGGTCATGCATATGCAAATGTCTGGAATAAAACGTCACAGGCAACGTGAGTGTACGCAAAACACGTGCAGTTGGCGCGCTTAACTCAAAACTACAATAAAAGGAAGGACGGAGACGCAAGTAAAAACATTCGCTGCAAGTACAAGTGAGTTTTTTTCGTGAAATATGGCCAGCGGATCAACTAACTGCTCGTCTAGACAATTTAACCAAGCTTGTCAATGCCTTGACGCGGAACAGGAGTGGCAACAAACTTACACTAAAATCCTGGAATTACGGAGGGGAAGGCAAGCTCATAAAGGAATAGACACAGCAGCCAAGGGCACTCTCAACACAAAGCACGGAAAACTAATTAGAGATCATCTCGCGGGACGAAGGTAACCAGATAAGGAGTAGCCCCACTTCAAAGCGCTTCACATTTCCTGCAATGGCTGGCAGCAGTAATGGATTTTTCAACTTGCGACATATCAATGGAATTCCTTGCAATATGACCATTTATACCAGAGCGAATGTTACTATCATCCGGAAAGATTTAGTTTAATGGTTGAAAGGTAAACTCATATGGACGCACCCTGCGTTACCCTTCACACTGTGGTGATAAAATCAAAATTGTTGGGATGTTAAACGTTGACACCACGTTTGGAAGTGCTGCCTACCATCACAAAGCACATGTGATAGCTATTACACATCTTTGCACACTCGGATTAGAATTTCAAAGGAAATATAATTTTTCCAACGAACTGCATTCTGCATCTGAGGACATGCATCCCTGTTCAGAATTAAAGATGAGGGATTTGAATTCGTCCACCAAAGTATACCTTAAGACGATATTACAGACAATACAAGCAAGAACAGAAGTTTTAACCCCTGGATCCATAGCTGAAAATAGAAATTTCCAGTACGGCATCATGGAATAGCCTAAGAACTGTAACAGCCCAAGGTGTACTGGCTGCCTCGCCACTCGTCGAACAATCAAGCCCGAGTTATCCCGGTTTTCCGATGAAACTCATAATGCGAAAACATAAGGAAAGGTACAGTGGTTGCAGCATTTATTCCAATGACCTATGTTAAATGAACTAGTAGTTCTCCAGAGTCTGTCTTTGGAGAGTGTAACATCGGAGTTATTGCAGAATCCACAACTAAGCGGTGAAGAGCGAGTGCTGCCACTGGCGTCATTTAAGATTTTTAAGATGGTTTCTCCCGCTTACCTTCTGACGTGGGTCGAACCAGCCTGAGAAGGCATAGAATTGACACAAGAGATCCTCCACCAACAAAACAACATCCAAGATGTCTACCGACTGCTAAACAGGAAAAAGTAAAACAACTTCTAAGGACATGGAAAAAAGCGCTAGAAAGATAGCTACCATCTTCCTAAAACTGATGACATCCAGACACCTTTCCTGGAAGCAAGTGGTTTTCGACACTTGATATAAAGTGTGGATACTCGCAGGTAGACATATTCCTTGATGACTGAGGAAAGACGGCATTTACTACTGGACAAGACTTTGGCATTTGAAGGTGATGCCGTTTGGATACTGTAATGCGCCAGTAACAGATCGTGCCGACAGGTCTTTCCCACGAATCCTGACTGATATATCCAGATGACAAAATCATTGCCGGAAAAACTTTTAAAAAGCGTTTAAAAAATCTTAAACAGGTGCTTCGGAAACTGAAGGAAGCCATCCTAAAGTTAAGTAACGCCACATGTGTAAACTATTTTGACATGACGTCACTGACCTCGAACATTTCATCTCTGCCAAAGGTGTGTGTACGAATCCAGAAAAAGTGTTGGCAGTTAAACTGGAAACGTCCGGAAAATGTCCACTAACTGAGAAGTTTTGTGGATCGAAGATTTGTGAAGGACTTTTCTTCTATCGCAAGTCCCTTTCACAAGCTTGACAGACAGCAAACAAAAGTTCTTGTGGACAAAAGAATGCGAGGATGCATTGAACAAACTGAAGAAAACTTTAACATCTGCGACAATCCTGACGTATCCTCACCTCGACAAGCCTTTTATTCCTGGACACATACGGGATTGTCGACGCTGTTTTGTCCCAAGAAATAAATGGTCAAGCACATGTCGTAGCATACTGGACCAAGTGTCTTATCTAAGCCGGAAAGGTATTACTATGTAACCAGAAAAGATTTGCTGACCATAGTTAAAACTGCAGAACATTTCCATCATTACCACTACGAAATTTCTGTTCCGTATAGATCATGCATCGGTGACTTGCCTATTAAATTTCAAGAATCCCGAAGGCCAAATACCCAGATGGTTGCAGATTTTAGGAATACGACCTAACTATCTGTCATCGCATGAGATCACCACATGAAAAGAACCGACGCTCTGTCCAGATGACCCTGCTCAGAAAGTGCAGATATTGTTCCAGGGTCAAAACGACATAGGAGCTCGTTAATCAGGTCGAACGTCAACTTACAACTTCAACATCGTCTGAATCAGACTCAAGGAATGGCGAAGAAGTCAGGAATGACCAGATGGAAGACGGAGACATTAAACCAATGATTGAGTTAATGGAATCTTCAAATAAGAAGCCTCCTGATAAGACATTTCGATCTATTCGAAACGGCGTCTTGTACAGGAAGTCTGAATCAAATGATGGAAAGGCATTCCGATGGCAGCCGATACTTCCAAGATCCCGGATCCGGAACGTCCTTAAAGAGCTACATAGCAGTCCGAAATAATGAAGACTGCACACAGCTTGAGAGCGCTTCTGCTGGAGTAACGCAAGGGATGATGTGCAAAGAGATGCCAATCTGGAGAGTCGGAAAGGACCGAGGAAACGCAGCCGAGCGAAGCTGCCGCCGAACAGTGTAGAAGCACATTCTGATCGTATCGCCTTTGACATCCTGGGAGTCTTGCTACGAACTGCTGATAGCAACAAATACATCGTAGCTGTTATCGATTACATCACCAAGTGTATCCTATTCCTGAACAAGAGGCTCTCACGGTAGCAGAGGTAACGATACAACATTCGATTTCCAGGTTCGGAGTACCTCTTTTGTTTCATTCCGATCAAGGAAGTAATTTTATCTCGGATGTAATTAAAGAACTCTACAAACTACTCTGCATAGGCGGCTTCTTTACATACGCAATCAGACGTAACGGTAAAGTTGTTTAATCGAACTATCCTTAATAACCTCTCGCTGATGGTTTCCAGAAATCAACAAGACTAAGGCCAGAAGTTGCCACTGTTCTTACTGGTCTATCGCAGTGCTGTCTACGAGACTATCGGCTATTCCCCATCCCAAGTGCTCTTCGGTCGTAACCTTCATTTGCCTTGTAAGGCCGTTCCTAATGGGCGTGCAGCGCGTAAAAGTACGCGGGCGGCCAAAGTCAGGGGGTGGCCGGACACTAGTGATAACGCGCCTAAATTTTTTAAACACTTGTCATATGTAAATATTTTTTATACAATTTGTCATATCTAAGTGTTTAGTGAGCATGAAATAAAAATTTTATTACTGATTGAGCAATTTTTTTTTCTTTTTTAATTTGGGGACGGCAATCTTAGAAAAGTATGCGGGCAGCCAATGATCTAGGAACGGTTCTGCTATCTTGTGATGTCTTGTTTGGTCGCCCTCCGGATGTGCCTTCATCGCCTGAAGAGTATATTCAAGATCTCCGTGAACGGTTGGAAGCGATGCGCAGTTTTGCACGAGAGCGAGTCCACTTGGCGACGGAGATGATGAAAATTCGATACGACACGAGAGCTGTAGTATATGGATTCAACAAAGGACACAAGGTAAGGTTATGAAATCCGATTCGACGGAAGAAACTCTCTCCTAAACTAGACTCACCTTAAGACGGTCTTTACACAGTGCTAAACAGGTTGAACGACGTCGCAGTTTGGATCTGTAAGTCATCAAATTCCAAGCCTGAAGTCGTTCATAAGGATAGTCTAGCTCCTTACTATGTCTAGTAAGATGGTGCTATGTCTAGAGACGTAGTCCCCGTAATGTAAATAGTATACTAAGAGCATAGTCATACTTATATATAAATTTGTAAATTCATGCATCAATTTATTAGTTTAGAGTTTATTTACTTTAGCTTATTTATTGAAATTATTGTTTTAGTATTGCCCTGATTTCCCTAAGTATGGCTTTCTATCCAGGGAGGATACCCTGGGAATAACTGCTATGGATCGTGCAGTCCTTGGGAAGGGGGCAATGTTACGAATTTTGTATAAATAATTTTAGTTAACTTATATATGGAATTGTATTTTTGTGTATAATGTAGAACCGGAAAAATAAGAACACAGGGAGAAGTTTATTTAAAATTAAGGAAATGGCTATCTCGCAAAATTGACGAGATATCGCCAAGATGGCGACGGTTTTAGCGACATTTTAGTCCAGTCCCTGTATAACTGTAATGGGTATAGTAATTGAATAACTGTAATTGATCCTCTATGTAGCTGTAACCGTATCCGGCTCTCATATGCCTTTCTGAAGATTTCTCGCGGTCGGTGGTGGGAGTTATATAAGGCCGCGAACAGCATCAGTTTCTCAGTAGAGAAAACTATATAAGACTAGGGAGAGCATCAGTTTCTCAGTAGTAGTTGTTAAGTTCAGCGTTAGTACTAAGGAATACTAATACTTTATTTTATTTAATACTTTATTGAGTACTAAGATATCTCCGTGCAGGGTTCGTAGCCACATTTTAGTTAAAAAAATAAGCACCTATAAGCACTTTTCAAGCACATTTTAAGGAAAAAATAAGCACCTGTCTAATTATTACATTATATACAACTGCATAACCTTAAAAGAAAAATTAGACTTGTAATTTAAAATATGAGCAATGAATATTTATTAAGAGAATGAGCACTGAAATTTCAGTTCAAAATATAGAAAATAAATAATAAAAAGCCATATTAATTGTATTCGTTTTGGACCTAATAATAAATACAATTTATTTTTTTTCCACTCATATTAATATTTAAATAATTTAACTTAAATTAAAATTCTGAACATTTTCTAAATTTTCATTGCATAACAGTTTTTCCCTTAACATATACTCCAAGCAAAGTAATTTAAGTAAAAAAGAGGCACATTTCTGAAATCAGAAGACGGGAAATTGCTTCATGCAGTCATCCTTCAACAGTAAAAGCTTAACTAACCCGCATACTTGGAAATTGCCGAATATTCCGGATAGTAACTGAGGGGTGGGGGAGATTGTAGCCGTTCTTTTAGATTTCTCGGCTAAATAAATGATTTTGACATTTCGATATGTGAATCATATAAAAATAGACCAACGGAACTAAGAAATATTCTGCTTAGAAAGCACAGTAAAACTCTTTTCAGTGTTCATAAACAGATCTCGGACTGAACATCAAAATTAATTATCTCTGCAAAATACCGCAAACGTTATTGCGCAATGCGTGCGGCGTAATTCTTCCACACGTGATATTACGCAATCGGAATCAACAGCTGCCGGTATTCGGAGAATAAAGAACTAAATAAAGGAAAAGAAAGAGACTTACTAATCTGGGGTGATTCTGATTGTAATTTTCAACGGACTGCGTTAAATTTCCGGAATAGAATCCTTCTTCGCTTAGGCTGGGTACACCGCAAAAACTTTTAGTCCTATTCAATCCAGATTGGACAGTGACAAAAAAAAAAGTCCGCTGCTTCAATATTAGAGATTTTGCGGAGAAACGGGAGAACCTCCCAACCTCCGTACTGTATTACTGTATTGGAAAAAAAAAAAAAAAAAAAAAAAAAAAAAAATTATTTTGACTATTCGGTTACTTTCCTTTTATTTAAGCCATTCCGAATATTATTCCTTAGAAAGCTAATCTGTGTAAAACACACCCATTTTTGGAAGTTTATCTATACTTCAGCAGTTACTGCAACTATATTATTATAAGTATTCATTCATATACTCATAATATAAGCATAACGATCATAATAAACACGAATATGAATTGACCACGCGGAACGAGAATGCAAATTATTAAAATCTTGATAGAAATTCAAACGTGTCTAGTATTTGGGTGGCAGGAAAAGAATACCGAATGAACCGGAATTTTCTATCGTTTTCGCAATTCTTTGACCAACAGAACGACGTGCACCTGTCTGTACTCTCTCGCGCACCATAGGTTACGTTAATGCAGAGAAAGGGGGGAAAAGCAATTTCCAGGAGTATGATTCACCATCTGACGTTGCATATAAAGAAGAAAAGTTGTTTATTTAGTTTCGGCTTTGCTACGAGGGGGGGATGCGCGTTCATTGGAAAAAAAAAAAAAACACTAAAAGCAAAAAAATAAGCACTAAAAACAAAAAAATAAGGGCTTTAAAGAAAAAGTAAGCACCTATAAGGGCCTTTATATTTTATTTTCAAATATAAGAACTTATAAGCACTTGTAAGGACCGCTACGAACCCTGTCCGTGTGAACTTTGCTCTTTAAATGCGCTTCGCATTGCGTTTCGTTTAAAATTCTTAGCAGTTGGAAGTTTGACTACTGATGGTGCTCTGTGATACTGTGAAGAGCTGTAGGAGTAATTTTGTGGAAAATTCCAGAGCTGCGAAGTTTTTCTTTTGGTAAAATGAATTTTATCAAACTATCATCAATTCAGCATCAGGTCAATCTATTACGAACCACTAAATTCGATTATCGTTCATTAATTTTGTGACACCCTATAGTAATCCAAATCACTCAATAAATCATCTAAATAAGCAGTTAGTATTTTTTAGCTTTGTGTTTTGAAAAAATACGCTCAGATTCCTCGATATTTCTAAAACGTTCCGGTATGGAATGATACCTGCCTCTCAAATGGAATGAACACAATAGATTACCAAATAATAAAAAATATATATAAGATTTAAGGTTGAATATGTATTCAGAAAACTGGGATAACTGGCCAAGTCTTTCCCTAGAGCATTCTTTCAAAAGATTTATCTGTTATTACAACAGCCATATTTGAACTCCTTTTGCTACTAAAATTTCCACATTTACATACTCCAGTCTTCAGAAATATAGGCAGTTTAAACGTTAAAACTTCTAGTCCTCAGTTATTAATTTATAAAAGTAAAACCTAAGAATTACTATTTTTAAACTCTATAGATACTCATAAATATTTGTAATTAAGAAATAAAGTATAAAAAAACTTTTAAAGTGTTAAGTGGTACAACTAATTACCAATAAACAGACTAAACTAATTACCAATAAACATATATGACTCACACGTCTTAGAAACACCTCCAGTGAGCCTTCCTAACATGCCGTTCCTTCCCATGTAATTTTTATCAGCGCCTCAATCTATATAGTCCCTAAGGAAAAGTGTTGAACCGCACACAAGATACCGATGGAAGTTGAGTTCAAACCCCCAAAGATGACGGGATCCAAGGGTTCCTTCAGTGCAATTAATTATTCTTAGTCGCCTGGATTCTCAATGACTGGTTAAACTACGAAGATACGGCGCATCAACTAAGAAATATTCGCCAGGAAATTGGTCTCGCGGAGTGACGGCACCTAGGGCTACAAGCCTCCCACAAAGTAAGGCAGAAAAGAGAAGTGAGATAAAAGCCTCAATTTGCCTTTCTTTCCTTACCCTTCGAAATCTAAAATATACTCTACCAAATCTGAATTCTACTCTCATGCACGCTCGAAGGAAATCTAGGTTCCATGCCCATCACAATATCGTAGGCTGGAAGATAAAAATTTAAATTAAGTTCTAACCAGTGCAGGACGAATTTTCTCCTTCTCTTCATATTTTCTTTCCCCCTCAAGTCAGTCGAAACAAAGCTAATTTTAACGGCTCATCTTGACCACCTGTAACTACGTATGAGTAAACGCGGGAGAACAAAATTCGATGCGTATCTTTCGAAGAGGGAAATTTTCTCTTTCCGTCTTTAACTGCGAGCTAACAAAAACTGGTCGCTTTTCTCTTCGTTATCCGGTCGCAAACGAAGTCCCCCCCACGGCTCCAAAAGATGAAGAAAGCGCAACGTATTTCGCAAACAAAAGCTTTGCCGTCTTAAAACAACAAAAATCGAGAACGAGGAAGTGAAACTGATCACTGTAGAACTCCCTCCGAATCTTATTCACAGTCCCGCTAAGAAATTCGGAACACTGACCAAGTAATTTAGCCCCTGCTCCCTGTCCAGATGTCCCTATTCTCTCCCAACTGCAATCGTGAGATTTCTAACAATAAGAACTGAAAGTAATGTAACGAAAACTTTTAAACTTCCTTGCTAATCTAGTTCAAACCATTTCAATTAAATAAAAACCTTAATAACAATTAATTTAAATTTGCGGCACAACAATATTTAAAGAAAGAATACTATTTACCTCCATGATGACGACGATGTGATCGATGATCATTCATAAGGTGTCGAGTAGTTTCCTCCTCATTATATGGTATTTCACTTACCATTTTATAAGGAACATAACCTATTCTTCCATCTATCTCACCAGTGAAGTAACCATCACTATCTCGCTCGCCATATACCTAATTTTTTCAAAATAAATGATAACAGTTAATTCTATAATTCATAGATGTAAATTCTTTATTAAAACGTTTAATTCATTACACATGGAAAAAGGGTTCCGTCATTATTTAATACAGTGTAAAGTCCTTACACATGGGAAAGGGGTTCAGTCATTATTTAATACAGTGGAAAGTCCAAGATCCAGAATGATCAGAGCTTCGGTTTCGGAAATTTCCAGATTTTAGATCATTAATTATATGGAATGGTTGGTTGTGAAATAATGAAACATAATTTTGCTATTAAGCGAACCAAAATTTAAAAGGGGGGTAAAGCTGGATGTTAATACTTATTTTGTTTTATTAAACATCTCTTTCAACATAAATTGTTTAATTTATGTTAATAAGAATACATAATTTCTTAATCAGCTCTATTGTTAAAATCATGTAGTAGCACATCGAGAATGTCCGCTAAATAATCAACTGAAATACTTTCATTTTCAACAATTTCTTTGATACTTTTTTTCACTTCGAGTAGGGATATTTTTTGGAAACCATGCTACAAAACTCACTGCCCGTTAATTCATTGATGACTACCATCGCAACCTTCATTTAGTATTTATTTACATGTCTTCCACATTCTACTAATCCCAAGATTTTGTGTTGTTTCCCATTAAAGTCCTACTTAGCTCTTTTTTTGGTTTGTTTTGGCGTATTTCTTTGCCCCCCCTTCAGGCGCTACCAGTTTGGTTTGGCTTCTTTCCTCACGCAATCACGTTTTTTATATTTAATCATTTTTTTCTTAAACTGAAATATATTTTTAACGATTTTGATTTGCCTGGAGATAAACAAATGTCTACCTCTTTATTAATATTATTTTTAAACAGAGAAAGAAATCAGTGTCAAGAAGATTTTTTCTGAATCACCAGAACAGGATACAACTAAAAGTAGAAATAAAGATATTTTTCCGGATTAAAACCATAATATACATCATTCCATCAACTAATTGACGACTGGAACATTGTAATCGCAATGTAAGTCTTCAGTAACACTATTTAACATTTTGGCCCTTCGAATAATTCGCACCCCGACCGAAAAGTCGCGAACTAGTTGGCGACTTTATACACAAATATTTCTTTGGGTATCTTATCGTTATGTTTATCTCAAAGATGCCTCCAGTGACGTCTATTTTTTTTGCATTTTCTCTTTTTCCATAAAAAACACGAACATCTCTTGGTTTTTTTTAGCTATTATTCTCCCCGCATACACGGTGATCTCTTTTCTCTACAAAAAATTCATAGAACTGCACAAACTCGACATCGCGCACAACCTGAGCACCAAAATCCTAAAATGAAATGGAAAAGTGAAACATCTTATACTCTATGCGTGCTGAAAGCTACATTCGAGATTTCGCAGAAGACGCTGAAAACTACAGCATGCGGTCCAACGCTATGCTAAAACGCTGAACTTCCTTTAGGAGGCACATTAATTTGAAGCCACACTGGAAGTGAAAGCAAGCTGTCCATGGGCTATGCTACGTACATAACTGGGTTGCCACATAACTAATTTGGGCGATATCGTGGGTTGCTACAAAAATATTGTTGCCGACGTAATGCTCTGTCTCATCAGTACGTTTTCGTGACTTTCTGCACAAATGCAGATAATCAGAAAGTGCTGAAAGTAACTTTAATATTTATGATTATATTTCCCGTTATAGTTTTGTAACCTGTGTGGTAACACGGTTTTTTACTTTTTCTTTCTGGCAACAGTTTCAGTTGTTGTCACTATAATATCCTTTTACCATGTTCTTTTTCTGCACTTTATGAACATTTGTCAATACATATGATGTTTTTACTTCTGTCTCCGTTCGTAACGTTAGACTCTAAATTGTTATGGGCCCAGGATATTCTAACTTTTCAGAAAAATTTAGAAGCAAAGTGGAGAGAAAATCAGAGAGCAAATTTGTAAGCCTAACACGGCAGTTTTTAAGCCTCACGTAAGTTGGCAGCTTTTTTCGCAAAAATGAAAGCTACTAAGTTAAGCCATTATTCAGAAAAAGTGATTGGCATATTTGGAGATATCGAATTAAGTTTTTTTGTTAAGTTATCATGAAGACGCTTTAGAAGTCAATGAAGGGAAATTGAAAAAGACAGTGCAACCTGATCAAGCAGCCGCCGAAGAGATTCGAAAGAGATACAGAGATGACGTGAAGGTTTTTCATAAATCCAATAATTGCGCCATGATGTTTCTTACGAACTGCATGACTAAAGACACTTTACAAAAAGGATTGAGATTTGATAGCGCAAGAGAAATTTAGCTGGAACTTCGCAAAATATTCCAAGATTTGTCCAATAACCAACTTTACAACATATGTTTACAGTTGATCAAATTATTATATGGCAGCTCATTTATCAAAATAAATAAATAAATAAAAAAGGAACAAACTGAACTATGGACTTGAGAACAAAGATCAAAACAGATACCCAGAAGTGCTGTTTATTCGTCAAATATTGGATACTCTTCCTCGCCGTTATCGTACTTCAAATCGAGTTGATTACTTCTTAGTGATGAAAAGAGAAACTCTAGACGAATTAACCACACAACTGTGCACCCGTGAAAGAGAATTAAGGAAATATCCAATTTATTTAGAAACTTTAAATCAGAAAGCATTGAAGGCAAATAAGAAATCTAAGAAGAAATCAACTCCAAAGAAGAAAAAAAACGGCAAGTGTAATTATTGCTACCAGAAAGGACACTGGGTCAGAACATGCAAGAAGTGAATAGATGATGGAAAACCAACAAAACCTATTCTACATACAGGGTCTTACCAAGGAGGTGAGAATAATGTTGCTGTAAATATGACATTCCTAGCTGTATATGAGACAACATTTTATGCTGAAACTATTCCTGATGATTGGTTTACTGACAACGGAGCCTCAAAACACGTCATCAGTAACAGTCACTAATTTATAGATTTAGAAAAATTTGAGCTTCTCCATAGCATCACTGTAGCAAATGGAAAGTCATTACCAGCAATTGCAAAAGGCATTATCAAGATAATGACCATTGTAAATGTGGTAAATCAAATAAAAAATCTTGAAAACGTGTGGTATGTTCCAGAAATACGTAAAAATCTGTTTTCTGTGTTAGCAGCTCAAGATAGAAAACAGAACAGTGTGTTTGAATTAACATTATAGTCTGCTATTTAAAAAATAGATGCGAAATAGTTCTGCATGGTACAAGAAATGCCAGTGGAAGTCTCTTCAAAGCGACGAAGACCTTAGTACCTGAAACTGACATAAATGTGACCGCAAACAATGAATCAACTTGTAAGGTATATTTTAGTTTTATAGCATTCATTTTAATTTAATTGTGCTTTCCTATCGTTTCTCGTTTCACCTTAAAACTCCCTACCAGAATGAGTTTTTAGAATTGCGTTGCATGCGAATGAGTAAAAATAGTATTTAAGAAAGGTTAAACTTACTTCGTGAGAGAGAGCTAGGAATTCTGAGTAGTGCGCGTTTGCATTGGGGCTAAGTCTCGTTAGAAGCTGCTACGCTCGGCCGTATATTACGTACCTTTTGATACTCGCCGGCTAGTTTATATTAAGGGGTCAACTACGTTAGATTTGTGTTAGCTTCAGCTAAATCTTAGTTAAATATAGTTAGTTCTTATTTTTGAGTTTAAGCCCAAATGGAGGCCTTGTTGCAAGCCCGAAGAAAAGGGTTGACTGTTCATCTTATTTTGAGTGAAATAAAGGGTAGTTAACCCTTCTTGAGTTTACGAATTCTATTATTTGAACTAAGCGATAAATTGCTTAACAGTTCACTAGATTCCCCGACATTTACTTTAGTAGAATAAGAGTGAGGAACTCTACATTTGGCGCCCGAAACTTCCACGGATTATGTCGTTAGAAAGTGGAAAATTCACATTGATCCCTCCTACTCTTCAAATCCCTGAGGCATCAGTAAGCCCAATAGAATCCATACGGGCAAAGGTTCAGCTGTGACGTTCGATGGCAAAGGTTCGGTGATGACCATCCTAGATCACAACAGCAACGGCTAACCTAAAAGGCTCTTAGTTGGCCCGACGGCATCGCGAAATTCTGGCTGGGGGATCGAGGTTTCGAAATTTACAGCTGGGAAAATTTTAAAAACGCGCTACTAAAATCGTTTCCCGTAGTTAAAGACCGAGCGAAATTGGAAGCAGAGCTCTTCAGTAAATACCAGATGAATGTCGAAGATCTGACCGATTTTATTCAGAGAAAATTACAAGTCTTCAATCTATTGCATGGAAAGAGGCTGGACAGTGAATTGATCGAGGTAATTTTGCCGCGTCTACTTCCTTCGACTCAGGATTTTCTGGAGGTGAGAAATCCACAGACACTCGAAAGTCTATTTCAACTTGCTGTGGAATTCTAAAGTAGAACAGCTGAAAACACACGTTCAACAAATTTTCGCCAGAGGCGGTATTCGAGGTTTTTGTCTCAACACAGACCCCAAAATAAGCAGTATCCTTATCGCCAATCGGAGAAGACCGAAAAAGGCGGTAGCAAGAAGATTGGTTAAACGAAACCATTTGGCGATCGCCAAAAGAAAAAAAAAAAAAAAAAAAAAAAAAAAAAAAAAGAGCAGAAGCAAAAGGCGGATAAACAAAATGATTTAAATTATCAGGGTGGCCGAGAGGTGGATCCGGTCACCCCCCTGCGAAGAAAACCCATCGGAGATTAAATTAAATACGGGAGTGGTAAAGAATTCGGCCTTGCTCGAAATTCACATTTTATTAAACAACTTGCCTACTATGGCCTTATTTGACACTGGAGAGCAGTAAGGCTTTTTGTCGCAAGACCTTTTCAAAAAGAATTTTCGACGATGCAAACTGTTTAGAACCACGGGAAGAATGTAATACAAATTTACACACCGCCCAAGGTAAACAGTGTGTGTGCATTGGAAGAATAGGGCTCGCGTACAGATTAAAACGAAACTCAGAAAGTCAATTTCTTGTAGTAAAATATTTGTTAACTT